CCATTCTTATCAAAATTGGGGATGATAACCTCGTACACTGCATAACATTTAGTCACACGGGCGCATTCCACCCTCCTGGAGCTAATCGTTGCTCGTTCCAATTTTTAAGAAGAGACCTCGCAAACATGCTTCGACATTTGACACCGTTTAGGGAGGCAAATGTCCGTGAAGAACAAGGAGGATCTCAGACAGGTTGTGGTTGCATCGATCAAATCTTCACACTGCGCTAAGTCCTCAAGGTGCGCCATACTTTACTTTACTACGGCTGGCTTCTTGGAAAGGATAAGCCGGCTCCATGAACGTCTCTGATGGCCGCTATCCATGCTTGACGGTTTGCTGCAAGATCCTTGCAAATGTTGATCCAGTTTGTTTTCCGTCGGCGAGTGCCGTACACCATCCGAAAACCAAGTTGATCGACGTCTTCGAATACAGTGCCCAGCCAGGTTTTTACTTGCCCCCCCTTGTCGGCGGCGCCAGCCAGGACAATACTCGTGAAAGTGTCGTCGGGTCTGCGGAGAACATGGCCCAGCCGTTGCAGTCGGCAGCGTTGTATGTGCACTGAGAGACGGGCAACGTGGCATCGATTTCTGAGGTCCGCGTTTGAGACCCTGTCCCGCCAGTTTTCTTTCAGGATGAACCGAAGACATACAATCGTCTGATGTCCTCAGCGGCCAAGTTTCGCAGCCGTGTAGTAGGACTGGTCGAACCGCTGTGGTAAACACCCTGAGCTTGGTTTTTAGGCTGATCTCGTTCCGGCGCCATAGGGTGGTTCGGAGCTGCAGAAACGCCGTTCGGGCCGTGTCGATGCGCCGCTTTACATTACCTTTGGCTTGTCCATTGGGTAGGATGGTGGACCCAAGGTACTTGAATTCCGATACCATTTATATTGTCTGACCATCCAGTTGCAAAGAATGTTCCGCTTGATCAGATAGAGTAGCGAACATCTTGGTTTTGTTGGGATTAATCTCAAGACCGATGTCAGGGGCAAATCTTTTGATACGGTTGAGAGCTGTTTGCAAGGCGGTCAGGTCCTCTCCAAGCACTATCACGTCATCGGCGAATTCGAGGTCAGTAATCCAGCAATCCGCGGAAACTTGGACGCCTTGGTAACCTTCCATTTCCCTACGCAGAATCCAATCAACGGCGAAGTTGAACAACACTGGAGATAGCGGGCATCCTTGTCTTACTCCTGACCTCAGATAGAAGGGATGAGACTCTTCGCCGTGGGCACGGATATGGGCTTTGGTTTGGGTGTAATACGATCTCACTAATGTTGACCAACTTTGTAGGGACGTCATCTGCAAGCATAATCTTCCACAATGACTCGCCGTCCACTGAATCGAATGCGGCGCGAAAGTCGATAAAACATGTAGCGGTGGGGCACTGAAACTGGTATCGGTGTTCCAGAATTCGCCTTGGGATGAAAATCTAATCGATACATCCTTTGCAGGGTTGGAAGCCTCCTTGGTTTGGCCGCGTACGGGCATGCCTCACTGTAGCAAATCGATTAAGCACAAGCTGGGCAAACGCTTTTGCAGCCACATCTAGCAGACTGAGGCCCCGATAATTCTCGCAGTGTCTTGGGGAACAGAAGTAGAACCGGTGTTCCAATCAGTTGGACATGTTTCGGTCTCCCAAATAGAGCAAAAGAGAAAGTGAAGCGGTTTGATGACCACCGGAAGGCATTTGTTGTATATTTCTAAGTTACGCCATGCACACCGTCGACCAACGTTTGTCGTGTTCCCTGACCTAAAAGGAGCCTTCGACTCAGTTGACCCTTATGGGTTTTCTCGTTCGCAAAGGAATGCCGCAGAATTGTGACAACACACGTAACTCTCGTTGCATACTTTTGAAGACGTAAGGGTCTACGGCGAGCTGAGTAGTTCGATCGTACTTAGCAACGGTGTTCTTCAAGGGTACCCTCTTTCGTAATCCCCGTTCGATTCCGTCTTAGATAAAACACTGGGTGGTCTCCACAATGTTGGTATTGGATGGGAAGGTGGAGAAAAGCTGTGCGGTTTAGAGTGTGGAAATGGCACTAAGCGCACTTGACAGACCTACAAGTTCTATTGCTCCGTTCGGCATGCACTTTGCACCTTCACAGTGCAAAGTGATGCTACAAAACTGGGTGTCGCCGAGTTCTGTGCTGAAACTAGTCGGTCAGGGATTATATGAAGTTGACTACTTCTCGTACATAGGTAGCTACGTGACCAAAGACGATAGCGCATCAAAGGAGATAGTCACTCAGATTTCCAATGATCGAGCAGCGTACGCAAGAAGCCTGTGGCGGCGACGTGACTTTCTAGAATGCTCTGCATTCTGCTGGCTTAGTTAGTTGTGGTCTGACACGTCGTGCCGCGACATCCTGGATTTCTGCGGAATCTACGCCTTCATGTTCGCTCTAAACTAACAGCCGAAGTCGAGTTTGGGCTTACGGCACTTTTTCGCACGAGTTTACTACAGAAAGTAGTGTTCGACAAGGTTGCCCTCTTCACCCTTAACTATTTAACTTTATTTTAGATCTGATTATAGAAACAGCCCTATCCTCGTGCGAAGATAGTGGCATCAATTTACTCCCAGGTGGCAGGCTGTCTGATTTGGAGTACGCAGACGACATTGTGCTACTAAGTGAAGATCCA